TAGAGGTTCGAAGGGTGGTCTTGTGAGACATTTGAGCACAAGATTGAGATCCCATGGTGGTGCAGGTTGGCATACTTCTGGGGACATGTTCTGTATACCTGCTAGAAAGTGCCGTGTAATCAGGTGAGCGAATATTGAAGCCCCTTCTATCTGTTTGTGGAGGGCTGTAATGGCAGCGAGGTGTACTTTAATAGAGCTTATGGCTAACTCAGTTTCCTTCAGTTCTAGTAGGTAGTCTAGGATCATAGATAGAGGCGCCGTGGTCGTGTCCAGCTGTTTTTGCTGACACCAAACGGAGAATCTTCTCCACTTGTATTTCTAGTAAGTATTTCTAGCGGTGAGGTGACGGCTATTTAGTAATACCTGTTTTACTTTCTCCGAACAGTTCAATTCCCCATGTTGGAACCAGAGAGGAGCCATGCTTTGAGATGGAGTTTCGCTGGGTCTGGATGGAGCATCAGGCCCTTGTTCTGGGACTATGATGTTCTTCTCATAACCACAGCTATTGCGGTTGTTCAAGCAGCTGTGTCTGCTACATCCATTGAAGCTTGAAGCACTGTGCGGGCTATTAACTGACTCTCGTTGATAATGGCATTGAGTTGAGGACGTTTATACTCTGGGAGGTCCTCCACGAGCTCTTGTATTTTACTATAGTTAGAGTAGTCGTAATTTGCTAGTAGAGCAGAATTGTTGAGTAGTGGAACTAGTAGAGCAGAAGGGTGGCCGAATTGTAAACTTTCCACCCAAAGAGGTGCAGTCTCTTGTGTTATCTTGCAGCGAGGAGCGGAAATGAGCCTGTTTACTGCGCTGATTAGCAGCCTCTACCACCAGAGAACAGGCTTGAGGGTGTGAAAACAAAAATTCCGTGCCTTTGGCTGGAACGAAGTATATTCTGTCAGCCCTTTTGTTGGTGGGTGGTGCTGATGCTGGTGTTTGCCATATTACCTCTGCAGGCTCCATTATAGCCTCATCCATGGGGAGGGCAATCTTGGTCGATAATGCCGGTTGTAAGATTTTTAACAACTTATGTTGTTTCTCCTGCATCTCATGTAAGGCAATTTCTTGGCTGTTTGCTACTCTTTTGAAGAGTTCTTGGAACTGTTTCAGGTCACCTGGTGTCGTAGGGGTAGATGGCGTCACCGCTTCGTCTGATGCGGAAGATGAGTGTGGGGCAGGTGGTGAATCATCCAGGTCTGCCTGAGATAGTAGCTCTTCCTCTTCTATCTCTGTATCAGGGGGGTCAGAGATTTCTGTGTGTGGTAACGATGGGTGTACTCTGGAACCTCTTGTTGTTGGGGAAGGGGGACCAGAATAGGGGTTCTGGTATGTGGGCCAAGGACCCCATTGTGGCCATTGCATGGGGTAAGGTGGTAATGGGAAAGGCCAGTGCTGTGCATACCAGGGCAGTGAATCCTCGGAGGGATGAGGCTTAGGCTTCACAGCGTTCCATGTAGGTCTCATCTGTGATGAACGTTAAGAGGAGAAGCGGTTGTACTGCACATCTCCTTCCTCGCCACTTTTCATGGAGAGTGGTGCAGGAGATGAAGGATGGTACCGTGCTATGTAGCTCGGGGAGTGTTCGGTGCCGAGCAGTGGTGACTGCTGTGCCGAAGAAACTGCTATGTCAGCAGGACGCAGGAGTTGCACTGGTCCTGCCTTGGGGTCGACCGCTGGAGTGCTGACCGGTGCTGGATTCAGCTTGTTAGGCGGCAGCAAGTCTTGGGTCGGTGCCGGCGGCGGCAGCATTGATTGCGGTGCCACTGCCTGTGCCGCGCTCTTAACTGGGGTAGTCAGTGCTGTGTAGGAGACTTGAAGTCTCAACTCCGGTGCTGTGCGTTGGGACTCAGCAGGGGTCCGCTGAGGGAAGTGCTCACTCTGGATGAGTGGAGCACTGAGGGTAAAGACCTCGCTGGGGAAGCTCTCTTTTTCTGAGACCCTCTTGCTGGAGAGGTCGAGGCTCGCTTCCTGCCAGCTTTGGAAGTCGGAGCCTTATCAGAGCTCAGGGATCTCAGTTTATGAGACTCCCCAGAGGATGTCTCTCGCGGAGGTTGGAGGGATTTCTCCAGCAGAAGCATTTTCAAGCGGAGATCCCTGTCACGTCTTGCCCCTGTTGTTAAGTTGGTGCAATGTATGCATTTCTGGGAGAGATGAGTTTCTCCCGGACAGCGAATGCAGGATGTGTGGCTGTCAGAGACCGGCATCAGTTCACGGCAGGAGTCACACTTTTTAAATCCTGTTGAGCCCGGCATGACTGCAGTTAAGCCTCTCCCGCCTCTCGAGAGTTAAGGATGGGAGTTAATTGTAATGATAAACTGTAGAAACTGTTCCCAAACGGGGAGTTAAGGAGAGAAAAAGTCATCTTCTTTCTTCCTTTTTCCTTTTTTTTTGGGGGGGGGGGAGGGTGTAAGAAAAACCTCTAAGAGGAACTAACGAAACTATGTAATTATGTATAGACTAAAAAGAAGTTCCTATGTAACTTGTAACTTTTTTTTTCCCTTCAGAAAGTATCAAAGAGAGCACTGCCGCGGAGCTCCATCTGCAGCCAAGGACTGTTGAGAAGGAACTGAGGGGACAATCGGGGGAGCGCGCGCTACAGGAGGTGCCAATGGCTGCACGAGACGACTCCTGTGCATGCCCTTCCCCCGACCAAGTGCTGCTGCGAGAAATCTCCGATCTCCGGCGCAGGGACGCACCGAAACCTAGAGTGGAGCACCCACAGGGACACCACCTAGAGTGGAGCACTCACAGGGACACCACTCGAAGAAGAAACTTCCCTTCTCCCATCCCCTGGACACTCTTCAAGCCATCCCTCCCATGCCCCACTGAAGTTTACCAGTGTTTTAAATGGGGGGTGAAAGGGGCTTTTCTGTTGCTTTGACTGACGGCCAGCTGAGTTAATTTGTTACATAATTTAATGCTGCTGAGTGGTCATTGTTATAGGATTCTAAGTTTCTTTAGGGGACATAGAGCATTTGTATTGGCAATTTTATTGTTTAGATGTAAATACAGTTTTAATATATTTTGTAAATAAAAATATTAAAATTATACATGGTTAAAATATTGAAGTGGCACAACTTAAACATCTGTTATGCATTTAAATGATAAACATTACAAACTTGAGTGAAGAGACTGGGGACATGAAGAGCAGTCAGGGGGTGAGAACAAGAGGGGCTCTCAGGGCTCTGATAAGCCAGAGCTAGCCCTGGTAGGAGGAGAGAAGAGCTAAAGGGCACTTCCTCAAAGACCACTGGCTCCAGAAAGCAGGGAAATGTGAAGCGCTTTCCTACCTGCTGCTCCTGAAGTGTTAAACAGCTCTTCACACCCCCCCACCTGACTCACTGAGCTTTGCCCCTTTTTCTAGCTCAGCCCTGTCCCATCCCTCAGCCAGCTGCTCTGTCAAGGTCTGTTTCTTTTTCACTAACAGATCCATTCCATAACAGTGAAGATATTAAATAGCAGTTTCTCCACACACACCCCACAAAAGATTAGCCTTTGCTTGGGTGCCAGCAGACCAGTATAGATGGGTGACACTGAGCTTTTTTTTAAACTAATCATTTTCTGAGAAATTGGTGGTCAAAAATTCATGAGATATTGATTTAAAATGTAACCTCAGTAACTTGAGTTCTGGCAATTAATCTAAGTACATTTTTAATCTTCTAATTTTTGAAATAACAGAAAAAAAGTAATATAGCTCTCTTTTTTCTGTTATTTCGAAAATAACCACTCAAATTTTCAAATTAATACCTTGACTTCAATAAAAAATTAGAGAGCTATAACATATGGCTTACAATAGAAACCGAGAAAGCCTTAATTATGTATTGTCTACTGCTCTTCCACAATACATACTACATAGAAGCTGCATACTTTTCATTTGATAAAATTTGTAAATAAGATGTTTGGGCCACAAAATTAATCTACTCTCAAGGTTAGGGAAGATTTTCTGTTCCCATTTAAAGGGCTAATACAGTATGACTGCTGAAGCTGCACTGTGCTCTATGTATTCCTCAGAGATTACTTCTTAAAAGTTTGCCTTCTAGCAGGAAACCTCTCTCCCCAAAAGCTGATGGAAGATGACTAATGCTGTTAGCTATCCCTTGATCAGAACTGATTTGGCAGAAAATGAAGTAATCTGCTAGAAAAGAATTTGAGCAAAACACCATCACAATGTACTCAGTCACTGATTTACTTTGCTTTCAGAAGTGGAAATGCACTAATGGTTTGTGTATGTGGTAGGATGTTTTATTTTCAAAACAAAGCAAATGCACAAAATATCTAGATGTATTTAGGGAAAAGTCCGTATCTCCACCCTCTCTGTAACATTCAAAGGCAAAACTCTGCTCCCTGAGATGCATAATTCAGAGGAGAAATCTTGGCAAGGCATCCATTATTTATTTTTACTTGCAATTTGTGGTATCAAGCCCAGGAGAAAGTAGGAGTTTGCACGGTCACAGTTTATTTCTGGCTGCATTAGGTTGAAAAAGACTTGCACCAGATGTAGATTTTCTTATTGGCTCGATGCAAACTGACAGCAGTGATGTATTATAGCCAATCATCAGTAATTTCCTACTATTCTGCATTTAGTGCCACTACCATCATCTAGATTTTCTTAAAATTTCCCACCACAGAAAAATGGTCAGGTTCAGTTTGGAGTAGGGTGCAGGTGGTGGACAGAAGATCCTGTCTCCTGGGAAGGAGGATCAAAGACCCTCCAATATCTACCAGGTCAATAGCAGGTCTGCTAGTGAGCCTATACAAAACACTTAACATTAATCTAAAAGAAACTGCCCCCAGGCCTGTTCCAGGCCCCCACATAGCAGATGAAACAGGAAATGTATCCACTAGATGTCACTCTGTGGGAGCTCAGCCTCCTTTCTTATAGGGTTCATCTCTGTAAATGAAGCTAGGCTACAAAAATGAGATGAAATTCACTAATAATCTAGAGACAACAAAGACTGTTCAGCCTGTTAGCACTCAGGGACAAACCCTCCCATGAATCTTACCTGTGCCAGAGATGCACCATTTCCCTTTTTCAGTTCTGAGAAATTCTCACTCAGTTTTCCCCCTTTGTTACTTGAGTTGCATTTATAGCAAGTCCATCTCATCTGTCCCTTGGTTTCTATGCCACATTCTTTACTCAGCAGACAGAGTGAGTGGTACAAATGGCCACAACTGTAAAAACAAGAGTAGAAACTTCACTATAAACTTCTAAAATGTGATAATACTAAATAATATTAAAACTAAAAAGTCTTATTAAGGCTAAGTACAATAATGTCATGCTACTGAAAAGGGAGATTTTCCCGTTGATTTTCAATTAAGAAGAACAGGGCTGCTTACCTACAACAATAGTTCCCAGTATATAAAATGCCTCCACATTTTCACACCCTTGGATCAAGAGTTGTACAAACCCAGAGTCACTAAAAGCAAAGAGAGCCACAAAAGAATCACATCTTTTGACAGAGATTGCATCCATAATGCTTTGCACATACAGACCATGCCCCTTCATTTCATGACGGCCTGTTCAGAAGCAAGAATTTCAAAGATGGGAGATAATGAGTGTGAAACTGTGGTGGCAATATATTCTGAGAACGACAGTTACAGGTAAATAGCTTTCATATGCTGAACAATTGCCTCCTGGTGTCTGTTGAAGTTCAGCTACCCTCATACCCTGATCCTGAGCCATTGTTGACCTCAGGGAGGAACCAAGCAGGGGCTGATAGTGTCACTCAAATAGCTCAGTTCCTTTCTGTAAGAGAGCTCTTGGGGCAGAAATGTGCAACAACCCAATGCTATCCTCTAAAGTCGTTACCCATCTTGTTCAATCTGCTGCTGGGAACAGGGGTGAGGTATTCTAGTTTGCAGTTTTCTCAGCAGGAAGACATCCAGGTCTATATTTGCATCTCTTCCAACCCTGCTGGTGCAGTAGAACAACTCACCCAGTGAAGACTGGGATGTAGAGGAGGGCTAGCTAGCTGAGACTCAATCCAGGGAAGAATTGGACAGATTTACTTACCTGGTAATTTCCTTTCTTTGACTATTACTCTATAATAGTCCTTAAAGTGGGGTTTCCTTCCCTTGTGCACTTGGGACACATTCCACAGGAACAGATATCCCAGACTGAATCAAGTGTCCACTAACAAATATCCTATCTGACAGCAGAAAGAACCAGCTGCTTCAAAGAAAGGTGGAAGAACCCCTTAGTGGACAGAACTGCTCACAGAGGCAGTGTGGCTTGGTTGTCAGGCACTGGACTGGGACTCAGGAGACCTAGGTTCAATTCTCAGTTCTGCCAATGGCCTGCTGGGGACCTTGGGTGCGTCACTCCATCTGTGCCTCAATTTATCCATCTGTACAGTGGGGATAATGATACTGACCTCCTTTGTGAAGCACTGAGATCTACCGATGAAAAGCACAATATATAAGAGCTAGGTATTATTCTATGGCCCCACTGACAATAATGAACTGTTACTGTGGGGTCCACACAGTTATCCCTGGTCTACACTTAAAATTTAGATCACTCCTGGGTGTGACAGATTCACACCCCGATCACTGCAATTAAGCTGACCTAATCACCAATTCTAGACGTGGCTAGGTCAACAGAAAAATTCTTTGTCGACCTACTGCTTGCGGAGCTGGATTACCTACCTCAAAGAAAAAACCCCTTCTGTCAATGTAAGAAGTGTCTGCACTAGGGCGCAACCCAGGGCCGGCACAAGAATTTCAGCCCCACCAAAAAAAAAAAAAAAAAAAAAAAAAAGACGCAATCGACGGCGGCAGTTCGGCAGCAGGTCCTTCGCTCCTAGAGGAAGTGAGGGACCTGCCGCCCCCGAATTGCCGCACGTGCCGCCCCTCTCCCTTGGCCGCCCCAAGCACCTGCTTGTTAAGCTGGTGCCTGGAGCCGGCCCTGGCGCTACTGCAGCGGTCATGCTGCAGTTCCTGTAGTGTAGACGTGCCCTTAGACCACAGCAGGCTAGTATGGGGCAGACTGCACCCAGCTTGCCGTGAACTAAATGTTTGTGTAGTCAAGCCCTTAGTCTCCAGTTACAGTAAGGTGGCTCTTCCCTATGGTCCCTCCTGGGGTAAGTGCTTCCCAATTCTGCTAAGCCTCTCTCCATAGCCCTCTGTGGAGACCCTTTACTGGCACCTCCAGCTCTCTCTCAGTCTGCTAGCCCACACAGGAAACTTCTTAAATGACCCGTTAGACAGGTTTCACTTATTTTGGGATTTTGTATGCATCAAGAGGAATTGGTGACAGGTACAATGTAAAATCTAAATAAAATAAAGATGTGAACTCCAGTTACGGGAAATGACTAGTTTTTTTTCCTTTATCAATTCCTTTCATATATAGGTCTAGGCTTATCAATCAGGAATGTGCAAAAAAAAAATTGCCAAAATGCATGGTGCTAGCCAAGTAATAATGCTGGCAAAATATGTTCCCTATGCATCCTATGATCTCCTTACATACTTAAGGCAGAGAGATACAGTGATGGCAACAGCTCCACTACAGCACGAAGGAAGACCTAGCATGGGTACCTTTGTAGCAAGCCTCAACACTCAAACAGTAATACTCAGGGGATCTGTACAGTTACCTGAATCTTTTGAACTTCTAAAACAAAGGTTTGGTTTGAAAGTTGGATAAAGGCTTACAGCAGTTCCTATTTCACCATCCTTATGTTTAAAATATGAACATGCACATCTCTCTAGCTTTACCTGAAGACAATGATTTCATCAGCCATCTCTTGCCTTCTCTTGTATTGCTGCAGACAGATACAGCAGTAATCCTGCTTTGGGTTAAGTCCTCTAGTGATGGAGGCTCTCAAGTTACACAAGGACCAGTGGAGATCGTGGTTCAGGAGGTTAGTAGTTGTCTCTAGAAGGGTCTGTGCAAGAAGACAATTATGTCATTTTGTCACCACTCTGCAGAAATTCTATATGTAGTAATTTATCGTAGCAAAAAGCTTATGAAATTACTAAAAGTAAAAGTGTAGCCTCTCCTTATACACTCTGTATCTGCTACCCAGAAAATACAGTACCCTTTTATCTCCCCACATACGTTAACAGAGACAATAACTTTTTGCTTTTATCTATTCAAGTCATTCATTTACAATCTCTGTCTTTCAGTGGTTTTGTTCAAGTCCTGATGGAACTGACACATTCTGTGATTTTGCATACTCCAGGCTTCCTTTTTTGTTCTCTATCTTTACGCAGTACATTTTTTCAGAGGGAATTCTTAACATCCACCGTTTTATGAGAATTATAGGGAGCATAAGGGTGAGGTGGGAGGAGTAAACTCAAATATGCTATACACTTTAAGAGTAAAAAATGCTGAGAATTCCAGTCTGCCATAATACTGACAATTCTGTCTTGCTGATTTGTACACTTTTAAAATGGAATTAAAAATCAGAGGCATTTCACTGTTAGGAATTTGTTTCCTAAATTGTTGCACACTTTGCTCTGCTGTTTGTGTTCTCATAGAATATATATATATAGAAGCCCACTAAAAAAGAAATGAAACTGTTAAAGACCTAAACACCTACAAACACTCTGGGTAGTTTTTTAGATCTCACAGCATTGTAAGGAGGAAATCAATAGTATTTTTCTCTAATACAAGTTCAAAGCACCCATCACTGGCATAGGAGCTTTATCATGTCCATTATCCATAGGGGAGTTTTATTATTACACTGTGATCCTGTATGGTTGAATATGACCATTTATATAATTGAACAGATTTAAATTTTTTATTAAAGTTAATGTTTAAAATTAAATATACACGAGTTAAGAGGCAAGGTACTGTACATCTGGGGTCAGGCTTGGGTTACGGGGGGTTACAGGTATCGTTTGCAAGGATGAGAAGATACATATATATCGCATAACCTGCATAGACCCAGATTGGGGTGCAAGGGTTTTTAAAGTGTCAGTGGATAGGTGGGCTGGGGTACGCCAACCATGGAATGAATAAGGAGTCCAAGTTAGTATCAGTGTACAAATCTGGTACAAAGTATGTCATGTAAGATGTCAATGGAAAAGTTAGGTTTTGCTAAATATGAATATCCTGGTTGAATCCATGTATCATCTTTGTATCTAAAGTTATGAATATTGGCCATGGACTTGTATCTTATACATGTGTTGTATTCCTGAGTAACACCCACCAGATAAGACTTACATCAAGGCCAGACAGTTGTGTGTTGATGGCCCATTAAGGACACTTAACTCTAACAATGGGCCATAGAAGAAACTCATTCCAGTAAGCCTTCATTTGGATACCATAAGAATATGCAGAGCAAGTATATGGGCAAGGACTGCCCCTGTGAGTCATCAAGCCATGTAAGGACATGTGATATGCTCATGTGACCCTGGAGTCCATCTTGGGCCAGTAATATTGCACAGAGGCTGTGAGCTTTGTTTGAGACAGTAAATTTCCAGGCACATAGCAAAGGATATAAAAAAAGACCCCCAAGATACCTCCATTTTGCCTCTTTCCTGCCCTGATTCTCTGGACGGTGGATTTACAACTAAAAGGAGCATTTTGAACTATGGACTGAGGACCTTCCAATCTTTTGGAAGTTACCAGAGAGATTTTACAAGACAGCAGTCTATTCCATCACTGCTACAAACCAGATATAAGGGCCTTGCAATTATTTGTATGTATATGATCTATTAACCATTAACAACTCTCTTATTCTTTTCTTTTATTAAACATTTAGTTTTTAGTTACTAAAGGATTGGCATCAGCATGATTATTAGGTAAGATCTGAGTTATATATTTACGTGGCTAAGTGGCCGATCTCTTGGGATTAGAAAGACCCTATAATTGATTTTCAGTAACCACTCATCATAGAGTCCAGTGTCTAGGTGGTGAGACAAGGGCTGGAATGCCTACGGAGACTGAATTTCTGGCTTCTTGTTAACCAGTGTGATGAGACAGAAGTTTTCTTCATTTACTGTCTTGGTATAACCTAATGATAGAATAACCACCAGTTTGGATGAGTCTGCCCTATTTCTCAGCAGTGTGTTCTGAATTTGGCATCCTCAGTTGTGACACTGAGGCACGGTGACATACACCGAACACTCTGAAAATGGAACAAGACCTATGCAACCCTTCGAGTGCTGTGACCATTCCCCCTTGAGACCAGGCATGCTTGCACATGCATGCCTCTCAAGGACTGGATAGCTAAATACTGGCTAGATAAATGCATACTTAAATGCACAAGGAAGACCTGCACAGTAAAACAGTCTGCCAAATCTGATTAGCATAATTCAAAATGCAATGGGTGAACAAACCGAATGAACTGTCCTTAAAGGGAAAGGCTCAGCCTAGCCTGAGAGTATGCTGCAGGAATGAAACATTTCCAAGGCCAGCATATGGATGGCAGGTCGCATGCTGCTTGCCTCAGTGAGGCAGTTCCTCCAAATAAGAAAAAAAAGACTATGAAAATAGTCTTTCCTGTCATTTCCTGTGGCTGATTGTTGATGTTGATCCCTATGTTAAAAGGAACGGAAAAGTTATTGTAAATCTAGGTTTGATGAGGCAACATCAAAATGATTGAAGTCTGAGACCTGTCCCATCAATGTCTTTGCAGTGTTTCTCCAGAAGCATCCTTTCCTGTAAATCTGCTCTGGGAAGAGCCTCTGTCCCCCACAGGTGAGCTTCTGCACCCTTAAAGGGAGCTAGGTAATCTGCCTGTCTTTCACAGCCCCAGAGAGTGACTCAGCTGCTGCCTTAGCTAGACTCTCCAATAAGTCAGGCAATATTCTCTCCTTTGTCTGTCAGCTCCAGCCTTGCTCCAGTGAGATAGCGGAGCTTTTTCCTCTGTGAGCAGATCACACATGGAAGGATCCCAGGGGAAGCATTACAGGAAGAGGAACATTTGAGGAATTGCTCTTTTTTGCTTTCGCATTCTCTGGCTGAGACACAAAATGGCAGCCAGACACAGCTGCAGAGTCACTTCCAGGAATCAAAGAGGGAAAATCCTGGATTATGACTGATGGTTGTCCTGCCCATCAGTGAGTGAGAAGGAAACATCCAGTATCTGTGCTGTCACAGACTGCCCTGAGCACCATGGAACATTTGTCACACACCCAGAAGGGATCAAAGACAAACACATTTCTGCCAAGTCAAAACAGAATGGACTCAGGAAAAGGCTGAGACATCCTAGCGCACTCACTCTATAATGTGCTCTAGCCAAGACCAGCCCAAACACCATGCGGAGATCTTGCAGAGTGAAAAAGATGTGTGAGCATCTGAAAGAGGAACTCAACTGTTCTAAAAAGGTGTTCCAGGTAACATGTATGTGTCATCTTCCCTAATTGGACTTATGAAAATGAAACATTACAAGTGAGGTCTTTCCTCCATTTGCCATAGAGTTGATTTAGAAAGGAGACCTAAATATGAGCCTCCCTCCCTGAAACTGGGCAAAAAAGCCTAAAATTGATCTAGGAATTTACTTCCCAAACTGATAGCACCTGGATGATAGAACTGGACCATCAGTTGGTTACTGCTCCTTCATCTGGCAACAGCTTGACAAGTATCAAAGATAAGCACCCTACTAAGAAAGGAGAGGGCCTTGTGCAAATGTATATCACCTCTGCACGATCTTATCATTCCTCATTTTCCCCTTCAGGATTATTCAAGGACATTAGCTCCTGACAGGATACACTGGGAGAGGCACAGGGCAGCTCATAAAAAGCAGCAAACGTTGTGCTGGTGTTCCCTTAAAGGGACAGAACCAAAGGGGACAGTCTGTTCCAGACACTATGTACGGCCTGTGGCAGATGTTGCTAAGTGATATCAGAAGGCATCTGCCACTGAGAATCAACTCTGTTTCCCAGGAATCATGAAAAGGGAAGGGAAAGAAAGAGAAAAGATTCTTCTCTTTTAAAAAGGATCCTTCCTGGACAGGTCTGCATAGGGCAGTCAATCTACCCAGTTATCAGCATTCAATATTCCGATAAGACAGTAAACCTGCTTGATTATCAACATCTGATGAAGTCACTGATCACTAGCTATGCCTGTCTGTAGCAAACACACTTGGCTCCACTGCCTGAACTGCCCACAGAGGAGCACAAAAGGTAACTGGGGCTCTCCTTCCCCGGAGGAGGAAGTGCCCTTTTTCCCCTGGGAGGAGAGGCCAGATGATGGGTACAGAAGTATCACCTGAGTCCACTGCTTTTCCCCAGAGCCAGTGGAATCACAGCAGGAGGGAGGAAGCAAGAAGGGAATTTGAGCCATCTGTGAGGGCTCTTCCCAGACATAATCCCCACAGAAAGTCAGGAGAGGCCTGTGGACTGTAATAAGATCAGCATCTCACTGAGGAACCTGGGTATCTCCAGGAAGATGAGCATCCAAGGGGACAGTCTCTGGGGCGGGGGTTACTGGCACTAAGATCAGTGTAGTGAATCTGAGTAACTGGTATGGGGGATGAGTTTGAGGAACCAACCATTCACAGGTGCAGGGTGGTTCTCCTCTGGCCACATACCCCACAGTCCTTATCACGTCTATTCTGCACACCATTCCATTCTCTGCAGGCATCTGACTCGTTATGCACCTCAGGTAACAAGGCACATGCAGTGACCTTCAATGAAGAGTGGGGAAAGAGGGAGTATGCCACCATTTTGGGGTAGTGGACCTTGTCTCCACCCAGGTTGCACGGTTCCAGTTGCACCACTAACCCTGTGGTCCACGTACAGAAAGCTGGTGCGGATGGGAGGAGTGCAACGGAGCAAGACTGCCAACCAACCCCAGGGGCCTGGGGCCTAAATCCTTGAGCTCAAAGCAGAGCTGCTATGAAGAGCTGTTTGCTATGGCACAGAAGCAGCAAGACTATTGAATTTATTACCAGCGTTTCAATATTCGGTGTTTTTCTTAAACCCCAGCTCTCAGAGTCAAGTGATTATGTGAGACGTTTTTTTTTTTTTTTTTTGGTAAATGTAAAAAGTAAAGTAAAAAAGGAAGATTTTGGGCCTCAGTTTCAGATCGTGAAAATATGACCCAAGTGAATTCAAAAGGCAAATACAGAAAACTCAATTTACCTCTGTTAAACTTAAGCCAATCTCATGAGTTTTAGGATCTTGAGTCAATCGATTTTTTAACCCTTTGGTTTGTCAATACAGGAAGAGACTGGAACACACCAAAACTTTTTGTCCTATTAGCTATTCATGTGGCCTTTGGGGACATGGCTGAAGACTAGAGGATTCTCTGACTACAGGATTCTCCGAGTGTGGGAATGCACAGCATGCTGTGGCAACTGCAGCAATGGCTTACATGGAAGCAAGACTTTTTAACCATCTTTAAACAAGTAATTTCTCTATTTTCTTAAAATGAATCCAAGGTTAGGGGCTTGAAAGGTCTGTAGAGTGGTGGTGCAGGCCAACATACTAATGAAAGGGGGAGAAGGACGGGCTTTGGGGAAGATCAGAAGCCCCATTTGGGTATGCTAAGTTTCAGTTGACAGCTGGAATATCCACAAGGAGATGTCAAAGACAGGATGAGATTTTTGTCTGGATGGCAGAAGAAAGGTATGGAATAAAGGTAAAGGTATCAGTTGACAAAGAAGAATCAGACTCCCACGGACAAATTTCAACATGAGCCAATTTCAAAACACGTATTTAAAGTATTAAAAGAAATCATACAAAAGCTACATAGAAATTCAAAGGGCATAAAAACGAACACTGAAATTCAACACTCATTTTAAGTAAATTTTAGAACACAATCTGAACTATGGCTGCCTCCACAATAATACGCTAAAGTGTGGTTAAGACGTGATAAATGAAGGGGGTAGGAGGTAGCTCCCTTTTATGGACACCCAACCAGCCAGTTAGCTATAAAATTCCTCTTAGTAGCTGTTCTCTACTTGCTTTACCTGTAAAGGGTTAACAAGCCCACAGGTAAATGGAAAGGAGCAGGCACATGACCAAAAGAGCCAATGGGAGGGCTAGAATTTTTTAAAACGGGGAAAAAACTTCCCTTTGTCTCTCTGTTGTGTTCTCCAGGAAAGAGGGGAACAAGGAGCATTTATGCTATAAGAAGCTTTAAGCTAGGTACGATCAAAAATCATCAGATCATACCTAGAATTACTTATTTGGAACTCCCAAATGTGTAAGTAGATTAGGAATGTTTAGAAAGATGTGATTAGGTTTATTTCTATTTATTTCTTGGCTTGTGGACTCCTCTGTGCTAACCCCAGATGCTTTTGTTTTGCTTGTAACCTTTAAGCTGAACCTAAAGAGAGCTATCTTGATGCTTATTTTTGTAATTGTTTCTTTTAAGATCTAGCAAAAAGCTAAGTTCCAAATGTATTTCCTTTCTTTTTGTTTTTAATAAATGTTACCTTTTTAAAAAACAGGATTGGATTTTTGCGTCCCAAAGAGGTTTGTGCATGTTGTTTAATTAGCTGGTGGCAATAGCTGATTTCCTTTGTTTTTTTCCCACAGCTCTTTCCCGGGGGTGGGGGGTGGTGGTGGTGAAAGGGCTTGAGGATACCCCACAGGAAAGAATTCCCAAGTGTTCCTTCCTGGGTTCTCAAAGGTTTTTTTTTTTTTGCACTTGGTTGGTGGCCACATCTAACCCATCCAAGGTCAGAGAAAAGCTGTGACCTTGGGAGTTTAATACCAGCCTGGAGTGGCCAGTATTAATTTTTAGAATCCTTGCGGGCCCCAACCTTCTGCACTTGAAGTGCCAGAGTGGGAAATCAGCCCTGACACGTTTAACTGTGTAGTTGGCAATCTATTTCCCTGTATTGCTCTGTTTTTCAATGCCTCATAGCACTATACGAATGCACACATCTTTTGATAGTGACAAAAGCTGGGTTTCCATTTGCCTGATTTTTTTTTAAACTGATGTTAATGTGTTAATTCCTGACAATTAGTGAACTGAAAAGAAAGAATAACTCCTCTTCTAGGCAATACTAGCTAGGCCTTTTATTTAGCTATGGGCAGAATGAAGAGGCACACACAACTTACTTGCTCATAGTTAAATGTGTCCAGCATCCCCAGTACAAGTCCCTGAATTTCTCCAAGTTTCCCTCTACCATAAACTGGATCCTGTGTTAAAAAATTAAAAGCTGTGATTAACAAAAATACAGATCATAACATTTTTACATTTTATTGCTCTCTGTTTACTCCCATTTTCTATGAAAGACAAAGGAGTCAAGGTTAGAAATATTTACCATACAAGATAATCAGAAATACCAGTTTTCCCATATACATATGGTAAAAAAGCAAAGCCTGACAACTTACTGGCAACCATCATGCTAGGGTCAAACCCCACCCCTTTGACTCACAATCTTCACTCCTTCATTTTGCAGGACCACTTTGCCTGTAGCTACAAATTAAAAATGTGCTCAACAGCATGAACTCAATTTGTCCTCTCACTAACTTGTATCACAGTGTCTCCCAAATAAAGCTTAAGAAGAGAAAGAGCGTGGCCAATATTCAGGCAAACTCCTATTGAAGATAGTCTAGCCAGAACAAAGCCTAGCTCAGAATTGGGCCCATTGGCCTTAATATAATGTTGGAGAAGTTCACCCTATGGCGCACACAGCTGTCTGGAAATGGCAAAAAATGTTACAGCACGGTTAGGACAAAAGTTCTCACAAGAGAGGAGATAAACTCTGCACAGAAATAACAAACAAAATCTCCTCTGCACCCACTAGAATGCATCTGTGCTCTCTTATGCCTGCTGGTAGGTTAGGACTGTTGCTACCTTTTTTCTTTGAAAGAATGAAAGAGTATAGCTGAGTGCTAAGGATGGATGGTTTTGTGTTTAAGATAAAAAACTCACTTTACATTTTGTGATAAAATTAGATCATAGATAAACATTACACAGATAAAATCATAAAATAGAAGTAATAAGAGAAAACTCATAATATTAATGCTAAAAGGTTAAATACAAAGAAGAAAACTTAAATGATTTGTTGATCATTTCAAGATACAACGCATCACATGTAATGATCTGTATAAAAGGCAAGTTCCAAATACTTTGCCTAGCAGACTAACAGGAAGTAGTTAGACAAGCTTCCAAAACATTTGCTGGCTAGTCCAAAATCTATTCTAATTAAAAAAAAAACTTTAGAAAAAGCACTTAAGAGTGGATTAGTTGCACAGCAGAAGTAAGATTGTTAGATGAAGTCAAAATAATTTAGTTATAATCGTAGATTTGCTAATTTTGCACTAGTTAGTCAATACTAGAGTCACCCAATTACACAGAATACAGGAACATCATAAGATAAATCTGGAAGCCTGCAGACAGTCCAAATATTTACTCCTGGGGGAATTCTGCACCACTGCATGTCATAAATATAGAGAGAAGGGTAGCATAAAATCCCTCCTTGGCAGCTGTAGTAAATCGTTTTACCTGTAAGGGGTTAAGAAGCTCAAATAACCTAGTTGGTACCTGACCAGAAGACCAATGAGGAAAGAAGATACTTTCAAATCTGGAGTGGGGGGCGGGGAAGGAGAGAAGGTTTTGTTTGGGCTCTCTCTTTGTTGTTCCCTCTCCGGACAGAGAGAGAAGCCAAGCAGGTACATCATCTCCTGAAAATATACCTGGAATGTTCCATCTAAAAATCACAGAAATTGTAAGTAAGGCAATGAAATGCATTAGGTTATCCTTTGTTTTAGCTTGTGAATTTTCCTATGCTACAAAGGTCGTTTTATTCCTGTTTTTGTAACTGTGAAGCTGAGTCCAAAGGGGAGTCCTCTGTGTTTTTAATCTTTTTATTACCCTGTAAAGTTACCTTCCATCCTGATTTTGCAGGTGTGATTCTGATTCTTTTACTTTTTTCTTTATAATAAAGTTCTTTTAAGAACCTGATTGATTTTAGTGTCCTGAAGATAAAGGGTCTAGTCTGTACTCACATTGCTAAGCCAACTAGTTGGTATATTATTTGCAAGTCTCCCCAGGAAAGGGGCTGAAGGGGCTTGGGGATATTTTGGGGGGGATAGGGATTCCAAGTGACCCTTCCCTGAATTTTTGTGTAAATCACTTGGTGGTGGCAGCAATACCATCCAAGGACAAGGAAAGGAATGTGTGTGTTGGGGAAGTTTTTAACCTAAGCTGGTAGAATATAAGCTTAGGGGGTCTTTCATGCGGGACCCTACATCTGTACCCCAGAGTTCAGAGTGTGTGTGTGGAGGGAGTACCCTGACACTGCAATTTTGCAAAACTCCCCATTTCCCCTGCAGAATTGGGGCTGCAAAGCTGCTGGCCGCCTCTAGGGGCCGCTGGGGCTCTGCAGAGCCCAGCTCACAGTGAGCAGAATGCGCAGAAGACCCAGCTCTGGCAAAAGGTGATGAAGGGCAGGGCTGCACCACAACACGTCCCCTGGCAGGACAGTAAAGAAGCGGGGGGAGAGGGGGCTAACGGCCCTGGAGGCGCTGGTGTCTGGGCTAGGGGGTGCCCTGCAGCTGGGCTCTGGGGGGATGAGAATGCAGGAGTCTGGGCTCTGGGGGCTCCACACAGCCCCCTCCAGCATTCCCCCCCAACAGGAACTGGGTTGTTGTAGGGGCTTCTTTAACTCTCCTGGGAGAATCTTTTTTGCTGCTGTCTGTATTGACATACTTGTTGACAGGTATTTTGCAATAAATTACCAAAATAATTGAAACTGGAATGGTTATATTGTGTTATTTTGTCAAAATATGCAGAATTTTAAAATAGTGTGCAGAATTTTTAATTTTTTGGCATAGAATTCCCCCAGGCGTAAAATATTGGTGCATCCTAAAATGCTGTCACAGGGAGTTTATTCACTTTTTATTAAAGCAGAATTGTTGACAGTACAAATTACGTAAGAAAATGAGTTACAGGAGGGGGTGATTAATACAGAAGAGAGTACAGATGAGATGAGACAGGACAGGTTAAGAGTTACAGTAGAGACACACTGTGATGTAGTGAGTATTGGTGGTTCTCCTGGCATTTAGTTCATATTAAAGCAGTACCCATAATGCACTCAGCACTTTCCAGAGAGACAACTGGGACAAGCTGCTCATAACTTAAGGGCAGACAGAAAAGTAACCAGAGACTAGGGAGAATAGAAAACACTTTTTTTCTTCTCTCTGCTCATTGATGCTTCCTCCCAAAGCCTTCATGAAATATCTTTTAATTTCCTGACAAATCACGGCCAGGGATTTCTCATTTCTTCACTAAGGCCATGTCTACATGGGAACACTCAGGAAAATTAAGGCGAATCAGCTAAAGGTGTGAAATCTATGTACATAAGTTAAGGCACATTAAGCCCTGTGGATGCTCTCATTCAGAAGTAAAGTGGGCATAGCTCCCTGTAACTTAGGGCAAGTCTACACTACAGAGCTCCAATGCAGCTGCGCCGCTGTAGTGCATCTCATGAAGATGCACTATGCTGATGGGAGAGTGCTCTCCTGTCAGCATAATTACTCCACCTTGTGAGAAGTGGAAGCTATGTCGGCGGGAGATGCTTTCCCACCAACATAGTGCCAGTGGGGATAGTGCAAAACTTGCATTGCTCGGGGGGGGGGGGGGGGGGGGGGGGGGAGGAGAGTGGGGATGGCTTTTTCCACCCCGAGCAACGTAAGTTAGTTCGACTTAAGCAGTAGCATACACCAACCCTTAATCATCCTGATCAGGAAGACAGGCTCTTAGCTGCAAAGAGGGGGGCAAGGTTATAAAATGGGACAAGGAAGGGACAGGATGACCAGCTCCTTAAACACATATCTATAATGTGGAGGAAAAAAAGCTGAGAGATCATGGGGGACTTCAATATGAGTGACATATACAAGAGGTCTCATGTAGCCAGTACTATAACAACACCCTCAGAATTTCTAATTATTACAGATGACAATTTCCTAACTCAAAGTGTTCCCACCAGCAAAAGGAAATTCTGTATTAGACATCATCTTGACAGATAAAGAGGAATTGATCACAGAACTCAAAATCAGTGGCAGCTGAGATACAAATGATCATAATTTGATCCCATTTATAACGTGCAAACAAAATGAAGTCCAAACCAAAGTAGTTGGTACTTTAAAGGGCCAATTTCACAAAGCTGAAAAAAATTATGGAAAAAACTATGAACCCCCCACCCCCAGAGATTTTAATAAGAAAAATGTGAATGATAATTGGGAATTATTTAAGAAAAGTTTACTAGATGCCCCAAATGGCACAACTGAGAAAGGAGGACACTGGTTAAAAAGCCAGTCTGGCTTAGAATAGAAGTAGAGGCAACTATATAAAAACAAAAACAAAAATCTACACAAATGGAAGAAAGGGGAAATTGATTTATATTCACTAATAGCAAAAGTAAGGAAATGTAGAAAATTGATAAGGTAACTAAAAAAACATGGGGAACTCTATCACCACAGAGTAAAGGACAATAAAGAAAGAATATTAGGAATAAAAAGAATCCTAGCAACAATGCTGGTCCATTACTAGATAGAAATAGTAGAACTGTCACTAATGCAGAAAAGGCATTCTGCTCTGAATTTGGGAAAAACGGATGTAGTCATTGTCTCACTGTCTGGAGTGGTTCACAACTGAGTGTGCCAACCTCAGGGCAGGCTATTAAAAAACAGGGCAGAGACCCCAAACTGGTTGTATCATCTATCATTAGATTTCACCAACCCAGTAACAAATGTGAACTCCTGAAGCACAACAACAGTCTTATGATGGAGTCACCGACAGTCCCCATGGGCATTCCTGTCTATCTCGCCACCCAGGTGGTTTTGCTTCAGTGATTTTGCTTATAGCAATCTGACCATTTTCTGACCATCAAAAGGCATGGCAATCTGTCTGGGAGAACTGAGACTGACAATGATAGTCTAATGTTGATTTTATGCCAGTTTGGATGGTGCCATTCATTTAAAATGTGCATCAGTTCACATTAACTTCTGGAATGATGCTTGCTTTTGAGCCACTGGAGGCATCTTCCAAAAGACCTTTTTAACCTGAAGTAATAACGGAAAAAGATTCTTACATGATCCTTAAAGGTCTAGGCCCAGATATGGAAGCATCATCCTGAGACATATGCAGCTTGCTTGATATTTACAAAATTCTTCATCACAAGGAACTTACT